CTTAGCAGTTCCTCACAGGTCTTTGCTGTAAGGATATGTGAATGCTGTGACCTTTTTGATCATGCTTTCTTCTTGTGCCCCTGAACTTATTGCAACAAAAGTCACATTCAGTCAAACACACTCAGCTTTCTTGAGAAACATTTGTTCTGGAAACTGTTTTTCCATTTTAAATTCACTTTTGATCATGCTCTCCCCTAAATGACCAAGACTGCACTGTTAGAATCTGAAATAAACTTGCTGGCAATGGGAAGGAAGAGTGCTAGACGAACACCCAAAAAGCCTGAGTTCCGATCCTGCCATTTACTATGTGACTTTGGGTAAGTCACCTCTCCTCTCAGGGACTCGGGGTTCTCATCCATAAAAGAAGTACATTGCTCTAAAATGTAGAGTCTAAATTATTTCTGTTGTCTTTTTTACCCCTGTGGTTCAAAATGACTTGCAACAATGCTTAAGAATTATTGAGAGGGCAAACAGGACTTTTTCAGAAAGAACACAAGCAAGCTTTCACTTGAATGTCTTTCAGGGAAATTTCTTAGGAAGCATTAATAAAGGCTGTTCTCTAAAGAATGGCTTTGCTCCCTGGACCCACTAGATTGCCAAATAAGAAGAGCTGTTTTTCTTTTCTTTTTTTTTGGGCGGGGGGAAGGGGGAGATAGTGTTGTAATATAATATTTTGGGCCAAAATATTTTTCTCTCAACCGAGACATTCATCTAAAAGAGGAAAATATTTATTCATCCATTTATTACATAAATATTGAGTACCTACTGTATGTGCAGGCACTGAACCGTTGGAGGTTACAGCGGTAAACAAGACAGAGCACTCATTCTCATCGACTTACAGTCATGCAAGGGAGACAAATAAATACACAAGCTAATTACAGGTGGTGGTAGCAGCCATAAAGGAAATAAAGAGAGGGTGTGTTTGAGAGTGAGGAAATATACTCTGGGTGTAGTAGGCAGGCAAGACTTCTCAGAGGAGGTGGTGTTCACCCTGAGGCCCAAGGGATGAGAAGGCAAGGATTATACAAAGCATCAGGGGAGAGCATTTCAGGAATATGGAACGGTTTTAGAATAAGAGACAAAAAGGAGTCAGTGTTGGATAACCAGAGTGAGATAATGGGTTCCTGGACTAGGGTGGTACCGTTGGAAATGAGAGATTTGAGAAATGCTCTCAAGATGGAAATGACAAGACTCGGTAATGGATTGAATGTGGTAGAGAGGGATAATCGACCGAATGGCTGGTGCAACTTTTATTGAGATGTGGGGGACTCTTAGGGAGAAACTGAGGGTTTGTGTTTTTTTTTTTTTTGTTTTTTTTTTTGATAGAATGAAAATTTTATCTTAAATACCATATTTAAGATACCTTTGAGATATCCCAAGGGAGAGTCAAGTAGGCAGTGAGATACACAAACTTGGAACTTGAGGCAGAGGTCAGGGCTCACCCCAGAAATGGGGAGTCATTGGCGTGAATATACATTAAGTGCGTGGGACTGAGATCATAGTGGGCAATGGTTCTCTACCTCAGCTGTCCATGGGACTCACTCCCAGAAATTCTGATTTAATTGAGCTGATGTTTTCAAAGCTTCCTAGAGAGCTTTCATACTTAGGGTGGAAGAGCCACTGATCAAAGAAGAAAGTAGAGAGGACCTGATAGAAGAGGATCTAGGACTGAGCTTTTAAATAGTCTTAAAGAGTTTTCCATTCCTTATACCTTTTCCTGCTTGGAAGGTCCAGTCTTTGGCCGTGTGGTTGAGATTAAGTTCTCCTTACATCCCGGCAGAGCACCTGTCCCTGAGTACAGTCAGTGTGCCCTCTGTCTTCCATGTCCTCCATTTCTGAGCGCATTGCTTGGGTGCTGAGGTTTTAAGTACATCTTCTCTCAGCCAGTCGTTCAAATGTTACCCTGATGTGGTGTAGGAGTGGTGGGTATTTGTCACACTTGAGAGACAGAGAATCTGTTCAGCTTTTGTTCTTCATTGTACTGTAAGAATTTGTTGTGGTTGTGGTGGTGGCTGTGCAGAAGCAAACGTATGCCAAGGAAAAAACACGTGTATTTTCTGTAAATATGCAGCCACAGATAACTGGCCCCTGAGTTACTCTAAAGCAGCAGTCGGCAAACTCATTAGTCAACAGAGCCAAATAACAATAGTACAACGATTGAAATTTCTTTTGAGAGCCCAATTCTTTAAACTTAAACTCCTTCTAACATCACTTCTTCAAAATAAACTCTCCCAGGCCTTGGTGTTTTGTGGAAGAGCCACACTCAAGGGGCCAAAGAGCTGCTCGCGGCTCGCGAGCCGTGGTTTGCTGACCACGGTTCTAGGGTGTCTGTAGGTATTTGGTAGCTCGCCTTCTAAGATAATTTCCAAAAGGTCATTGAGGCTTTTAAAATTTCACCTGCTCTTAAATTTTTCACACTTGTAAGTGCTTCTCAAAGTCCTTTATTTTTGTCTGACTTCCACTTACTCCCCTGAAGCACTATGCTGAGAGAAAATAAAAGTGTGCTCACACATCCTTATACTGAGCTCAAATCTCATACAGTCTCCATGAAAATCCAATGAAAAGGCTGTAGAAAGCAGAGGCAGAGCTTATTAAATTTTCTTGTGACCCATGGCCCACATAAAGTCCCACTGTATAAAGGAGCCATGCAAGATCATGTAGCCCTCCCCTTGGCCCGCAGGGAATCTGCCATTCCAAAAATATGGCCTATTAAAAAAAATAACTTCCAGGGACAATTCCATAAGCTCTCTTGTTAATGTTTACAGCTGTATCAACACCACACCAATACTTTTTTTGTATGTGTGTGAGGAACAGAATCCACAGATTTAACTGTGACAAGTCCTATATAATTCCCCAATCGTGAAGCCGGTTAGACACAGCAAGATGTATTGATGGAAGTTTGTTTAGGGTAATGGGTGCGCTATTAACTTTGTAATTGAATCCTCGCTGCTGCTCCTACTTGCTTTGAAAACCAGCCTTGACACTTCACAGGGCTTAGTTCTTAGGTGTCTCACTCTGCAGATCTGGATATTTTTCAGTCCTCCACAGCAGCTGGAAGAGGAAGGGAAGAAAAAAACCCCAAAAAAACAAAACTAGAATGCCAACATTGGTAGAGCCACGTGATGAGTGGAAAACTTAGTCAACCAAGACAAGAACCATACCCTAGTCCAGGACTCACTAGTCAGTGTCTGAGGACCATAGGGTAGTTGTTTTCCCTCTGTAGGGCTCAGTTACTTCATCTATGAATAGCTTACTTGCTAGGATCTAGGAACTGATTGGGGTAATCTCTAAAGGCTCCTCAGAGTTCTAGAATTCGTTTGTAAGCTGCATAAAAAGTCATAAATGGTGGGAAAAACAACCATCAACAAACAATGTAAATTCTCACATTCACATGGTAACCCAAAGGGTAGTTTCACCAGTTTTTTTTTTTTTTTTTTTTTTTTCCTGTTTGTTTTTCTCCTCATCTTAGTCCCTCTGTTATAGCAGATGCCCCAAACTTGCACTGGCAGGAAATAGGGTGGTGGGTGCATTTCAGTTAATGGGTCTAGTTGGAACATGTTTGGCTGTGGAGACAGCTACACTCATATTACCAAGCCTTGGCTTCCTGTCTGTTTTCTTTGGGCTGGGTAGGCAATGAAAAAGGAGACAGGAAAATACATTTTGGGGCAAATAAAATAAGGAATTTGTCTTATGAAGACAGCTTATAGTTGGGAAATTCTAATGTTCAACTTAACCCTATCCTGATACATCCCTCTTGTCCTGTCTAAGTGGAAGATGAGTTGGTCTTGCTGTCCATAGACTATACCTTCCTGTTCTTGAAGGCCCTTAATAATCCTTCTTCAAGTTTTTTTTTTATGGATATTAATCTTCATTTCCTTAATCAAAGACTTATTCCTGTCTTCTTAATGGCTCTTTAAATCAGCTTCAGTTGGGGTAACATGCTAGGGCCTCACTGGTATATGGAAGGAAGAATCCACAGTATATTTCTGTTTATGTATTAGGCATTATTGTATTTGTTCACCACAGCCTCACTGTACAGATCTACACTTTATTAATGTGGCAGCGAGACAGTACTGTACTCTTTATTAAGTATGATTTGATGTCTTTTTAAAGAAGTCTTAGAACCTTAGTTATCTTCTAATTTGTATATTTCCAATATTTTAGGATATCCTTGGATTTTAGACTTGAATAAACTAGAAGAGAGACAAAATTAAAAAAAAATTTTTAAATAATGGGTTATCTCATTCACATGATAACTCAAAGGATATTTTTCAATCTTTCACAAAGCCATAGTTCTATATTTAAAATAAAAGAAACTGTGATTTAATACAAGTCATTACATGCTTTCAGGCTTTGGCATATCACAAAATATCCAGGTTTCTCTTGAGAGTTTGAGTTTCTTTATTTCTATTTCTATGTTTTTCCCCTTAAAGGGATTCTAGAATTTAGTTTTAATTTTCCAGAAAAAAGTCTCTGTAAGGTATTAATTGTAACAGAAAAAAGAAAAAGTCTCTATAGTCATCATGGAAATTTCCCTTTGACAAATATGTGTGTCTCTGTTTCTGCCCCAACTTTGGGATAGTAGATGTCACAGCACAGCCTCTTTGAACTTGCAGGGACGTCTTGCCCTTCATGAAACAAGGGGACACACCCTAGAGCATGTTCACCTTCCCCATCCTCACTGAAGGGCTAGAGGAGGTGTCCAGGGAATCCCTCGTGAGTTCCCGTGTCCTGGCCTTGCTCTGATGCTTGACTCAGAGTCACCCTCTGGGACCTCAGCTCTCCACTGTAGAACAGAACCAGGAATGCTTGCCACCAGATGATGCTGATAAAGCAATTTGAAATGGAAGGCTTTATATATTAGTAGACACTCCATTATGAGTACCAGTATTGATAATCCCTTGGCTTAAACCCTCAGTATGTATGTTCACATATCTATTTAGCATGGTCAATTGTTCAGCTAATTAATATGCTTTTATTTTATGATTTGCTGTTTCCAGGGCACAGACAGAAGCTTGATGACTCTAAACCTAGTTTGTTCTCTGACCGCCTCAGTGATTTAGGGCGCATTCCTCATCCCAGTATGAGAGTAGGTGTCCCGCCTCAGAACCCACGGCCCTCCCTGAACTCTGCACCAAGTCCTTTTAATCCACAAGGACAGAGTCAGATTACAGGTAAGACAGACTCCTAGGTTCACTTGCGCAGTCTCTGGCAGGCTGGGGGTGAGGGGCTGCAGATGAGATGTGTTCACTTCAAAACTCTTGGAGCGGTGAAATGGCTTACTATTCAAGAATCAAACTTGAAGGCACTGACCTTATTTTTTAAATTAAAAAAACAAAAAACAGATTCCAGCATTTACTAACTTTGGGATGAAATGTGGGTGAAATTTCTGCTGTCGCGGTGTCAGTCTGCACACTGGTGGAATGGTAATGACTGATCTCTGGGAGAATGTTACAAGTTTCTGTATTGTGTCCACGCGGTGCAGGGGAATACCATCACACCCTCACGCTTAGAAAATTAGTTACTGACTTAGATTTGGGCTTAAATTTCTTGTATGTATAAGTATTTCATTAAGTTTTCTTGAAAATTGCCCAGGGCTAACAGGAAACCTTGATTGGTGGTTCAAAGGCAAAGTCGAGGAGCAACTCATTGGCACAGAATTTACTTCTGATTCACATTTAGCTCTGGTTCCTCCAGCAACATTTCTCTTTTACATTCTAGTAAGCTACTTCACCCTTATTCTTAAAAGTCACCATCAGCATTGAATACAGACTAATTCATAGTTAGTGCATTAAGATTTCGTTTTTTTGTTTGTTTTTGTTTTTGTTTTCCCCCAGCCCCACTTAAGGTAGCACTATTCTGCTCTTTTAGGTCATGCTGACAAGAGAGTATGTCAGTCATCATAGAGCTTTAATTTGCAGCTCATAAGTATGGAGAGCTGAAAGCAAGTCAACATTGTTAGCAGAGGTGGCCTAGAATATAGAGGGGAAAATAACTCAAAACAAAATATACGATAAACTCTCAAAATGGATATTTTTTAATGGTTAGGTTTTTGTCTATCGTGGTTAGGTTTGAGTGGCTTAATGGTCTATAAACATAATTGTTTATAAATTAAATGACCTCCCTTCCCTTCTCTTCTGCCCATATTAAGTGTGTGTATATATATGTATATATCCTGGGATATTTATTTAGAGTATGTTTCTGTGGGTATATGAGTATTAGTCTGAATATATGAGGATGCCTAAGTATTTTTAAAATAATATAGAATTATAAGAATGAAATGTCTGAACCCTGGGAGAAGCAGGTAATCTGCATCAGGGAAGAACAGTAGAACGCTGTGAAGAATAGCCATGTCTTAGCCTCATAAACCTTTAAGTGTTAGTATGCAGGATAAAAACGTTAATGTGTTTACTAGGCATGTGTCCTGGATGAAAATGCAGGGCTGAAATTTACACTAATGTGAATTTGAAGCTTGTAGTACAAGTGCTGCTGCATTTAAAGTGGTGGATTTTGGATCACTGATTAAGGTTCATGATACCTGTCCTTTTGTCTCTATAGTTATCCTTAGACTGTGTGTGTGGAGAAGCATATGTATACATATATAAAGTGTTTATATATGATTGGTAAGGGACTTATGATGGCAAGATATCTATCTATCTATCTATCTATCTATCTTAAATTTTCATTGTTTGCCAGTTATATTTTGCTAATGACTAATGCTTTTAAAATGGTCTTTGGAATCTGTGTGCTAGATTCACGTAAGAAGATGCTTTTCTCAAGACTCTGTCCTCAAACCTAAAGATGACATCATAAAATAGAACCAGGAGACATTTTGGAATCTGAAGTTACCTTAGATATCATTAACCAAAAAGCTGGTAAAAGTTGTGAAGAAGAGCTGCATTTTCACAGCACCTACCCCTCAGCCCCCAGATGTTTGTGCAGTGAGCGTGGGGCAGGTTGATGCCGGAAGAGCATCTGAGCAGATCAGGTGTGTGGCCACCTGCACAGACAGCTCTCAATTGGTTGTCAGCCTCTCTCCACCATCCTCCTGTTGGGAAGCTCAGGAAGGCTAAGCTCCCTGTTTATAGCCAGTTAGTGGCAGGGCAGAATTAGGTCTCGTCACTCCTAATGCAGTATGTTTTTTCTTATACAACTAGAGCCCAATGAAGGGAATTCATGCAAGAGTAGGCCTTCCTTCTCCTGGCTGCTAGCGCCTGCTCCCCTCTGGTACCCGGGAGCCCGGGCTTCCCTCTGGCTGCTGGCAGGCACCCAGGACCCAGGTTTCCCTCGAAGCCCAGCTTCCTACGAAAGGACATCCGGTCTAATTAGCATATTATGCTTTTATTATTATTGATATCATGCTGCAACTCCACCATGGTCATTTAACACTAATGTTTAAATATTCACTGGATATATTTCCAATAAATGAAAATATAAAACAAATTTATTTCTAGGTACAAATTGCTTTTTGGAATTATATTACAAGAGCATTATCTCTGCATTTTGGGGTTGCAGCATGGTATCCATGGATACCATGTGGAATTGATCTATAGACAAGTCTTCCTCATTTTTTTTTAAGCATTCACAAAGTATTGGGCCCAACAACTTTCTCAAACTTTACAAATTTGAAGATTCATACCCTCACCCACTTTCTTTAAGTGTGTACTTTCTTTAAATGCTCCCATATTGTTAGTGAGACAATACAAGTATCTGCCCATAACCAAGGATTTCTATCATTAAGAGTTCTACCATGGCCCAAATTATTAGGAAAACCCAAGAATACCCATTGCAGTGGCCACTTCAAAGTAAATCGAATAGATTTCATTATTTTCTCGTTAGATTAAATTTTAATTTATTGAATAAGTATGAGTTAGAGCCTACCACACACATATTGAGAATTGGGTCTTAGGTAATATGCGGGAGAAAAGAAAATTAGAGTCTATATGTTTTTGTTGTTAATGCTCACTCAAGGATATTTTTCCATTGATTTTTAGAGGGAGTGGAAGGGAGGGAGGGAGACACAGAGAGAAACATTGATGTGAGAGAGACACATTGACTGGTTGCCTCCTGCAGACACCTTGACCCTTTCTGGGGATTGAGCTTGCAGCCAAGGTGCATGTCCTCGCCAGAAATTGAACCCTGGATCCTTCAGTCTGTGGGCCAACACTATATCCACTGAGCCAAACCAGCTAGCGCTAGAGATTAGACTTTAACTTTCTGGGCCCTAGACTATAATATTGTTGTTTTTTGAGTCCACTTCAATAGCATCCCACTGCAATCAGGACAACCCTTCTCTCTCTCTCTCCCCTTACTGAAGCTATCCTATCTACGGTGGTCTCTGTGCTGGCAACATCCACTCATCTTCTAGGTCACTGTCTTTTTCCTCAGGAAAGAGTCCCAGATCTTCATCTAGAAGGCTGCTTATCCAGCCTCTAAGCTTTAGCTGAGATTGCCTTATTTCATAACTTCTGTAAATTTGCTTTCTTCTGCTCTGCTAGATTATAAACTCTTTGAGGGGTTTATTAGAGGGACTTATTTTCTTTTATGCCTAGTGCAGTGGTAGCATCTGATTAAATATTGAACGAAAAAAAAAAGTTTTAGATGAGAAGCAATCAGTGCAAGAAGGGCTGGAATATCATGCCTTGTTATCATTAACTGTTCTTTCTAATTTCTTCTCCCAGGGTGTCCCTGTTCTCTGGTGATGAACAGTAATGGGAAAAATCACATTTCAATGTAGCACTTAAAGGGTTAAACCATGTGATAGCATTCTAGGTTGGGATCTACATAATTGCATGATTAAATTTAAGTTCTACTTAAGAGCCTTACCTATAATGGATTTTGTAACTTCTTTGTAATGTGCCACACCTGCATTTCAGTTCATGTAATCCTTTGGATAAAGACATTTGTAACCGAAAGGGCCCAGTTCTTTCTCATTGGCTTGGCTCTCTTGATATCTTAAGCTCTTACCCCCAAACTAAAGATAAAGATCACAGTTGTATAGTCACCACTAGTTCTCGCACTTGCCAACATAAAGGGCAAGACAAACTCCCAGAAGAGCAAAATGAAATTAGAAACCATAAACTGAGTCATAAGCACTTAATGTTTCATATTAGTGTTTTCCAGTGCCTCTTGCAGTTCTAGTGCCACGGGTGTAGCCACGTGGTGGGCGGGCATCCTCACAGTGCTGGTCTGCTGGTGTCACTCTGCTGTGGTCTTCAGCTGCTGATGTTCTGCCTGAGGGCCCAGGGCCTCCTCATGGCTTCCTGAGGAAGTTGGTTCTTCTGTACCTTTTTTTAATCTTTCAGACATCTGGTGCCTGTCTCTGGGTCCTAGGAAATACCTAGTCTATCACACATGTCTCCTTCTTTGGGTTCAGAATGCGGTTATAGCAGTAGAGTAGGGATAGTGTGCTAGGAGATATTGCTGGAAATAATCGCTGCTTTAAACTCAGTGCTGTCCACATGGGCAAACTGCACCTAAAAGAAGAGCTGACTCAGGTGTTAGGTTTGGTGGATTGGACAGTCGTCTAACCTTTGGGCTAAGCATTCTGCTTTTCTGTTACTCAAGTGAACAAGATAGCTATAGGTCCTGTCCACCAGGAGCTTACATTTTACTTATATAGTCAGTAAATGGGCAAATAAACATACAAACAAGACAATTTTAGATTATAGTGAATGCTTTGAGAAAAAGAAGTAGGGTAAATGTTATAGCAGTTTAGGAAGGGAAGAAGCTAATTTTGATTAGAAAGTTGGGAAAGGGATCTTTGAAGAGCTTTGTAGACCTGTGAGCACACATTTCAGGCAGTGAGAAGCTCATGCAAAGGCTCTCGGGAAGGAATGAATGTGGCCTTCTTGGGACAGGAAGGTCATTGTAGGTGGGAAGTAGTGAACAAGGGGGTTGATACAGAAAGGCAGGCAGGAGCCAGATTATAGAGAGCTTTTAAGACCCTGATAGGGCTGAAACCGGTTTGACTCAATGGATAGAGCATCGGCCTGCGGACTGAAAGGTCCAGGTTCGATTCCGGTCAAAGGCATGTACCGTGGTTGAGGGCACATCCCCAGTAGGGGGTGTGCAAAAGGCAGCTAATCGATGATTCTCTCTCATCGATGTTTCTAACTCTCTATCCCTCTCTCCTCCTCTCTGTAAAAAATCAATAAAATATATTAAAAAAAAA